AGACACCAACGAGGGGGTTCGGAGCATTATTTCGCGATAAATGTTTACTAAGCTACGTGCAAGTCATTTTCTAGCTGCCAGATCTTAACCAAATTTGGAATATATCGACATATTTTGGTATAACTTCCCAGTATTACATTTCATGAAAATTCGTAGAGAAACAAAAGGAAATAAATTCGTTAATAGGCGCTTTGGGTGAAATTGCATTGTTTGTACTTGTTTGAATCTTGGTCTCACACTGCAGGGCTCATCGACTTGGTGTAGGAGGCAACGCTTTGGATCTGTATTCGTGAGGTGTTCAGTTCGAAACATGGTCGATGAACTGGCTGTTTCTTGTAAGATTTCAGGTTTTCACGGTGGTGACTATGAAGAAAGCAGTCTTCTGGGATTTGGCACGGTGTATACGGTGTTAACCGAAGTTTCGGAGGAACGTATCGCCTCCATCTTCATTGTAGAAGGAAAAATATAAGAAATCCGCAGGCGAAGAGACTTTGAGAACCGTATATTTTTCCTTCTACCCTGAAGATGGAGGCGATACGTTCCTCCGAAACGTCGGTTAACACCACATATACACGGTGCCAAATCCCAGAAGACTGCTTCCTTCATGGCTGTCTCTTGACTGAGGTTTAAAATTATTTTCCTCAGTCCCTTCCCCTAACTTCAGGGATAAAGCCTCAGAACATTATACTGTCAAATCCTAAATTAATCTGTTATCCTACCACTCAACGCTGTACAGTCTGATTCGTAATGTAATGCACGAACTGAACTGAACATTCACTCCAGGGAAGGAACGTAAACTGAGGGTGTTTAAGAACTAAGCACATATCTTTGAGATTGCTTGGACCTCTGCAGGAGGAAGAGTCGATAACGGGAGGACGGAGGTTACTTAATAAAGAGGTTCATTAATTGTGCTCACCGCGTATTCATAGTCAGTCTGTGAAGGAGAACGAGATATTTGTGGCAAGTCGAAGGCGGTGGAATGGGACGGGGGCTAGAAATGTATATACAGTCATAATTTGTGAACTTCAGAGAATGAGACTGCGTTGAAGAACTAGATATAAATGATGGGATAATATTAAAATGGTTCTTAGAAAATTTGTGGAAGAATAAAAATGTTAGAGCATCTGGTTGAAAGGTAGAATTTTATTTTACTCCGAAGTTCTAAACGAAATATTGTCACGTGATAGAGTGACTATAAACGAGGTTTCGATTGGTAATTGTATTTGTTGAACACTTACAGATCGTAACTACAAGTAACTATAGCACTATCACTAATTCACACAATCTGCAGTTCACTACAGCACTACTAAGTCTTCTCATTTTGCTGTCTTCACCGGTCGTTGTCTGGTAACGGCTTCCAACGCTGTAGCTTCCTGATGTTCCATGTTCACGACCTTACTGGCCGGCGACTATCTCAGAACTAAGTAAGCTCTAGAATTTTCCTGTTTATAACACAATAGCCGCATAGAAAACACTTGTTCCAGTTGTTTTACTGTTGTGCCACGTCGCTGTCGCGCGAACCGCGTAGAGAACACCGCTTCCGAAATACTTCATTGGTGCTTGCAGCCATTACCTAGCAACAACCGTTGTTTATAGAGTCATTACTTAGCAACAGGTCTACATGTTGCATTATTCTTCTGACATTTGGGAATATTTCTGCCAAACTACACGGTTTCACAATGTTTCCTTCCCATATTGTCCGTGCTGTAAAGGATATGCGAAGTTGAAATGAGTAACCAAACATGCCTTGAGCTGTACTGTCTTGACGCCGTATATTCCGACAGGTGCTCACCGACGTTTCGGAGGAACGTTTCATGCTTCTTAGTGGTTGCTTTCTTCGTTTAGTCTTCGAAACTGGAGTTAGAGGCTTTATTTCTCTGTGAAACATCTGTGTTGCAGCTACTTATATAACCCAAGGGGGATTTTAATGCTTAGAGAAAAAAATAGCAAAGAGCATGAATAGAAAGAGAAGCCGCATTATAACAAAGAGCATGAATAGAAAGAGAAGCCACATTATATTTTACAGAGATTCTTTTAATATTTAATGATCGAGATGAAGAGGAGGAAGACGGAAGAAACAGAATTAATATTTCAAGCAAAATATTTCAATGTCAGTATGTGAGAGAGGTTCTTTTCATTTTAGTCACTGCTAATTGTAACCACACTGTACAGACATCGAAATATAGTGTTGTATAAAAGGAGTTATTCCCTCCAAATGTCTTTGTTTTTTTCTTTGTTTCGGCCATTCAAAGTACATATATTTACCTCATTTTAACCTGCCAATAATACAAGACAACTGTACGGATCGGGTTAGCGTAGCGGTTGCTATCTAGAATCATATTCGGGAGGTGCTGGGTTCGAATCTAGGTCGAGGCATTGTACGTTTTATTATTCAGACAATATCTGGGATTAATACCTCGATTAGACAGTGACTCATTCCAAATCCTTTCCAGTTCATCATCCACCTATCACTCTACCACCCGACCCTAGTCTTACTACAGGCATCAAAAAATACTCCGTAGTTTTAGTCCGCAAGCGAACTATACCGACTGAGCGATCGTCGCTTGTCGACGAATTTAGTGCAAACTTTTGCGGATAGAGGGTGTCACGTGGTCAGCGCAACGAATCCCCACGGCCGTTAGGTTAGATTTTCTAGACCGGAGCCGCTATTTCCTTGAAATAGCTATTCAATTATCCTCACGAGGCTGAGCGGACCCTGTCCCAGACCCACTACTTCTCAGGAAATCTGGTAGTGCCGGGAATCGTACCCGGGACCTCTGGATCTGTAGGCAAGGACTCTGACGACGAGACCACAGAGAGGGACCTTACTGCCGGCATTAAGGCAAATAAATTGAAAAACAACCAAATTTTGAGATTTTCTCGAATTTTTCTTGAGTTACGGTGTATCGTTCGATAATGCGCAGGACTCGGAAGGGTCGCGGAAGGAAGGGAGAGGAAGTTTATGCAATTAATGATGAGGCCTGCCGTTGCATTCTCAGCAGGTGTTACATGAACTTATTTATAGTTTGATCCCTCAGGAGGAGAGCGGGCTTGCTAAGTCCCCAGACGAAGTTCTTCATATGTACGGAACCACAATCCTGAGGACACCAGCATAACCAGAAGCTTCAACATTGCTAATTTCAGAGCGGCAGTTGGACGGCTGTGACCGCGCTAGCTGACATGTCAATTATAGAATCGGTCAGGGTTGCTGGATATTCTAAAGAACACGTTTCGGAAACCAAATCTGTTTCCTTCTTCAGATTCAAAGGCTGGAGACACCTACTGTGTTTATCCGTTAGAAAGCGTTAACCTCAATCACTGGATCTAGCTATTTTAAGGGGCCCAACAGAGTGTGTGTCTCCCACCCCCTAACCTGAGGACGGAAACATCCATTTTCCGAAACGTTATGTTCTTTAGAATATAGGAATATGAACTGAGTCCATAACATTTCCTTAGCTTTTAGTCCGCAAGCGAACTATACTGACTGAGCGACCGCCGCTTCTCGGCGAAGTTAGTGCCAATTTTAGTGGATAGAGGGTGTCGCGTGGTCAACGCAACGAATCCCCACGGCCGTTAATCTCGGTTTTCTAGACCGGAGCCGCTATTTCCTTGAAATAGCTCCTCAGTTATCCTCACGAGGCTGAGTGGTCCCGAATAAAATCAAGAGATTTACCACTGCACTAACCTGCTCTTTGAAACATGTTCTTACCTTAAAATAAGGCCGCGCCATAGCTCAAGCGGTTAGTCGATGGCTTCCCACCGCGGCGGCCCAGGTTCGATCCCGGGTCTGGTCAAGTGGGATTTGTGGTGGACAAAGTGGCGCTGGGGCAGGTTTTCTCCGAGTACTTGGGTTTCCCCTGCCAATCTTCATTCCACCAATTGCTCCACAATCACCTTCACCTATCATCTGGGGCTAGTACAATAGGCCAGAAGTGGCCGCAGTACAAGGGACTTAGTCCCACCCCACAAGAAAAAAAATACCTTTATATGAAGGAGAAGTTTCCACAGTCATACAGGACTAATTACACGGAGTCCTTTTGAGGAGTTAATGGTTGAGATGGTACTCAAGAAACTGCCAGCATTTATGGGAGATTAAGATTCATTACCGTGTACACAAAAGCCACATTGATCTCTGTTCTGAGAATACCAGGTGTGAGCCCCGTCCACGGACTTTGGAAACATAGAAACGGATTAAATTTAGCACCAATCCCAAAAATTTACTTTTTTTAAATAATAAATTTCATTCAATAAGACTAGTCTGCAGTGTTAAACAGCTTAAATGGACGTTTCGGAATAACTATCTTCCGAACGTCAGAGAAAACCATGCAAGAAACAACAATAAGTAGACAGAGACCAGACGGTGGTGACTGCCAAGTAGATGTTCACTGACGTTTCGGAGGAACATATCATTCCTCTGAGACGTCGGTGGACATCTACTTGGCAGTATAACCCAGAATTTCACACTCCTCATAATCACCGCTGTGGGAAGCATAAATCCAGCATGGCGGAAACGTAGGTTTGTAAGAAAACTTTAGGTACTCACCCTTTGAAAAGCTTACAAAAATGGGGGGTGGGGCGAGTCCTTGCTACAAAGTAAAATGATTTTCACATATCAAGTGAAATTATGCAAATTATGTAATTATGAATGTACGGCGGAAGATACTGGGATGGAACTTTATAATAGGCCACGACACAACCGGTAACTTCCAATCCCTTTCCAATTCATCATCTATCTAACGTTTCTCGACATTAACAGATTACATATCGTATTTGAGTGTTTTCAGATAACGCATGACTGTGACAACTTAAAATTAATGCTTAGTTCACTTTTGTTCGTGCCTCATGCCTTCTGCTCTATTCCGTAACACTGAGGTTTCCGAATGCTTCTGTGCTAGCTGTATGCTGTAGTTGTACAAACCAAAATCCGCTTTAGCAGCTGTTTCTAATCTTTATCATTCATCATCTCTCTCTACACATCTCATTTTCTTTATATTGCAGACCCTGTACTGGACTGCCCTGCCCCCATACCACAAGGGTTTCTGTCAAGGGGCAGTTGCTAAGCAACGCCACAGAAGTCATCCCTCCGTCCTTTAATGGAAAGGAATTACCTCCTTTGAAATATGAGGGACAACTTTGTAGAAGGTATGTAAATTTGTTCATATACATACTAAAGGTAATGTAACAGTAATCAGTTGCCGTAACGGATTTTTAGAACTTGAGTTGCATGAATCATAGGAGACAAGACTTCCTCAGAACAATTTGGTTCATGCGGTAAGGCTTCTTATTTGGATACTTTATGTACCCCTTTCGATTCTCGGCTGGATCCTGGATTATCTTGACTGGAGATTCCTGGTTTTCCATAGTCCCTCCAGGCGAATTTCAGGACAGTACCTCGTTTAATCCATAACTAATAGTATTATTTTGATAACACTTACTGGGAATCTAAACTGAAGTTTGTGAATGGACCATATTTCTTGTTTGGTAAAATTCTTTCTGCAAAATAAGCCGCGTCATTTCGGAGAGAGAAGCCCAACGTTTTTGGAAAAGAAGTCGACGGAGGCCGTTTTTATCGCCATCACCACAGAAATTGTCACTTGATGATGAAAGACAATCTCAGAAACATTGGACATGTACGAATTGACGTGCTTGTACTGTGCAAACTGAAAACATCGGAATGATGACTCTAACTTCTACCGTTAATACACTTACTTCAGTGTGTCCGCGGATGAAAAGTAGAAAGGTCAGTTTCGACCATTGTGCACCATTTTCCTCGCTTCATTTGGCGATTGTTTTTGTCGGAATATTCTCCTCGTTCCTCAGTCATTTATCCGTCCAATGGCCGACCAAGTTTAACTCCGTACTCTCTTGTTACCTTCGCAAATTATAGCATAATGATAATCCGAAGCAACGAGAGGAATAAGTAAAAGATTTTCGGTGAACTGTGTTTCAAACCGAATACAATATCGTACTGAACATCTTTGCTTCGTATCCGAGAAACAACCAGCAATATATCCGGTTATACTTGGTTCCACTCTAATATGAACATTCTGTATATTCCAACATTATGGACGTATCAGAGTGTTAGAGCTAAAATGAAAATGTCTCTGCTGGCATTTAGGAGAGTTATGAACGCCCTGTATATTCCAGTGCTACTGAGTTATCAGAATTTTAAGCTGAACTACAAGTGACTGTACCTGCGTTGGGGAAATCTTAATGACATGAACATTCTGTACATTCCAATACCATGAATCTGCAGAATGCCAGAGCTGAAATACGAATGGCTCTATTGATATTGGGGAAATCTTTATAACCTGAACATCCTGTATATTCCAGTACTACAGAGACATCAGATTGTCAGAGCTAAACCACAAATGGCCCTACTGACGTTGGGAAAGGCTTTTACAGCTGAAACCGTTCTCTTTTTTCGTGTTAAGCGGATGTTTTTCTTGGTGGATTAAGTTGCTTAGTTCAGCGTCGTGGCTTAGAGACGCCGGCATTTACACTACGGCGTCACTTTGCCCTATTTAGGTGTTTCTCCCTTCCTCTTGTACATCACCCTGATTGTGATGGGGATGGACGGTGATGTCGATTATCCCAGAGCTTCATCCCCAAACATTCAACCCTTCGGGATGCTTACACAAACTGTTCACAGACTACGAACGTAATCAACTGGGCGTGTTGACTGCGCTTTCTGCTCGTCTGCACCTCACTGGAAGTTCAATCGATACGCACAATTTGAAACCCCCTTGCAACCCCCCCCCCCAACACCACCCAGGATACTCAGGATCAGTTCCTTCTGTATCTTCAGATGTATTCCTGTACTTCCTAAAATTTATTTTCTTTTCACAGAAAAATTTAATATTTTATAAATACATGGGATGGACAAAAATATGGAAACACCTCTTGAAATGCATGCCTGAATTGAAGTGTTTATTTTAGCGACGTCTGTAGGTGACGCTGCGTATCTGACCAATACCACTACCTGTACAACCTCCGCAATACGTTGCCAGCTTCATTTGTTGTCGAGACAGTGTTCTGCGCAGTTTTCTAGTGCTTCATGTCAGAGCTAACAGAATTCGAACGCGGGCAAATTGTTGGGGCCCGTATGATGGGTGCTTCCGTAACCAAGGTAGCCAAGGTTTTTGGTGTATATTTTTAACCCCTATTTCAATGTTCTCCTTTCATAAGCGTATAACACAAAATTGGATATTACGAGTCTATGTCTTTCTGTTCTAGTCTCTCAAAACATTTAACAGATTTTGATTAAATTTGGTTTGAGATAGCTGCAGTGGAACAGCTAACACGGCGCCGAATATGAACCGTCGTCGCCAGGATCCTGAAGTTTGTAGGGTTAGGACGTTCACACCTGATCCTTTGAATCTAAATACGGTCTTCATCCATCCATCATCATTTAGATCGTGTCAGTTCTCGTCGTCCACGTGGTCGATAACGGATTTCCGTTTCTGGGAGTCGGTCTCCTTCTGTTCTGTGCAAATCGTTCCCGTCATATTCTGCAGTTATCCTCGTATTTGTTGGACCACAGCCGCAACTTCCGGTATTTCTGATGTCTAACATAGAAGCATCGGGTCTGTGTTCAGCGGGGATGACAAATTTCTGAATCAAATTAATAACTGTCCAGTGATTGAGACAGGATTCATGCTATGTAATTTGTTTGTTTGTTAGTTTCTTATTCGTTTAGTGGGGGGTGGAGTCCAGCTGGGTCCACTTGGCACGTCGGCCACTGATTGATCTATTGTACCTACCCCGGGTGATTATGATGATGGAGAATTTGATGGAATGAAGATTGGCAGGGGAAACCGAAGTACTCGGAGAAAACCTGCCCCAACGAAACTTTGTCCACCACAAATCCCACTTGATCAGACCCGGACTCGAACCAAGGCCGCCGCGGTGGGAAGCCAGCGACTAACCGCTTGAGCTATGGCACGGCCTTGTTAGTTAGTTAGTTAGATGGCGATTACAATGGCCTCGCGGTCTAAGGCATGAACGGTCTTCGCCCGCTCAAACACCGGGATCGTGGGTTTGAATCCCGATCAAAGCATGGATATCTGTGTGCGTTTATGCTATGTTTGTGTTGCCCTGTGTTTAGGTAGAGGCCTTACGACGGGCTGATCCCCTGTCCAAGGAGTCCTGCCAACTCTGTAAACATCAAGAAACTGAAAAAACGGTCAGGGCCCAACAAAGGGCTGTGGAGCCATAGGCAGACACAGTGAGGTAGTTAGCTGAAAGCACTGAACGAATGTGCTGAAACGGTAGCTTCTCTTGCCTTTAATCTGGAAGCGGCTGTTTGAATTTCGTCCTGGCCACAAGCTGATTTAAGGTACGTGAAGAGATAGTACAACAAATTGGGTCATAACTGTTTTATCCCAAATTATTTCCAATTCATTAGCCAATCAGTTTGCCATTTGACGTTGTATAGTATGAACCACTGATAGAGGTCGTTAATAAACCATAAATATAATATAGGGCCTATGTGATGGCGCATGATTGTGTACAGTGCTGTGTCATTTCGCGGTATGCTGGTTTCGTATCTCCTCTGACACCAAGCTTCCTGCTAAACACGCCTTTTTATATCGAATAATTTGCGTTGGTGTTTCGTTCAGAACACGTGCGTGTCCTCACATCATAATAATAATGAGAAACAGAGTGAATTAAATATTTTAGAAAATTCTTCCCTGTGCTTGTTAATACTTTAATCTGCCCATTATACGTATTTTCAATCATATGTCGATTCTGCGCAATGAATCCCGTTTCGTGCAGACCACATCAAAAGGAAGTGAGCGTTTCACCAAATATTAACTATGGATTGGCTATTAACCCTTTTGACAACCATGTCTACCAACTGTTTTAACGTTCAGAACCCTGCTTCCAACCCACACAGTGTATTTATTGGTTTCGCACGGTTTGCACACCAAACAGCGATTGTTTTCCCAACCGTCATTAACTGCTTGGTCTTGGCGATATACATTTTTTTATTGCTAGTGGGGTGGGACTCAGTCCCTTGTACTGCGGCCACTTCTGGCCTATTGTACCAGCCCCAGATGATAGGTGAGGGTGATTGTGGAGCAATTGGTGGAATGAAGATTGGCAGGGGAAACCGAAATACTCGGAGAAAACCTGCCCCAGCGCCACTTCGTGAAGCAGAAATCCCACTTGACCAGACCCGAGATCGAACCCGGGCCGCCGCGGTGGGAAGCCAGCGACTAATCGATCGAGCTATGGCGCGGCCCTTGTGCTTAATTAGTCAAGCAACATGCCCTGAAGACGTGTGCCGGAGTCGAAGTATACCTCCAGTTCATGATCTCTGCACAGGTGAGTTGTCAGCTTCACGCCCCAGCCCGCTGTAGCCATAGTTTAGGCGACTGGACTGACCTCAGAGGCGGTGTGGGGGCTAGGGAGAAGAGAAAACTCTCTTGCCTCTGCCTGGAGTCGAAACTCCACTCCAGCCCGTAGCCCGTCGCTATACCGACTAATCTTATCTCGACACTAAATGCATGTGATAAGTTTATAAATGTCATTTAAGCAAATTCCGTAGTTCAAAGTGTCCAGCGAGATAATTTCAATCATGTGACGCTTCCACACAAACTCGTTTTACACTTAGTGCTTATAGTTCCTCATAGATGGCGTTTAGATATAATTACTCACTATTTCAACATGCACTAAAATCTATGGATAATGATAGAAACATTTTATAAAGGAGTAACATTAGATGACATTTATATTAAATATTAAAATATAAATTGCTGAATAATAATAATAATAATATAAGTAATGAAAGTTCTGCGTTCAGGAGCCTATGGTTGAAATGTCGGCTAGAAGGCTGATTATTTCGACGGACGGTTTCATGATTTACCTCAGTTTATCCTGTCATAATAATATAAAGGTGTGTCTAGTAATGTAGAGAAATAAATAATACATGAAATTGTCTCTGCTCCTCAGTACATTTGCACACAAGACTCCGAACAGGAGAACGAGATGTCTGACCTTCAGAATGGTTCGCAGTGTGGCGTTTGGACTCGAGAAAACTGAATAATGGTGTTT